CAGTCTTTTAATTATTTTCTTTATTAAGTTTTGCTAGGTTTTAATAACACATAAACTGTCAGTTAAAAATTTCTTTCCTTCATCTTGATCTGATCTCAAGAAAGCTAACCTTTGGGTTTGCCATGAACCTTCTATTTACAATATTCTTATAAGAAAGCATAAGTTCTAATACATAAGTTAAAAATGCTAGAAACTATTATTCTAAAATATCCTGTCTACAAAAAAGAATATTCTTTCCTATTCTCAAGGAAATCTTTCTCACTGTGGAAGAATTAATTCCCTATGGCAAACAAGAATGGCTGTGTCAGGGAAAATTCTAAGAAAGGAGGCTTTATGTTCTTTTACATATTTAAGCCATTTAGGAAAAAATGAATAAAAGCAATCATTTTAACCAAATGAGTTCAAAGTTGACTATTAGAGCATAGAGTTAAGTGTTAGTCACTTATTTCCTCAATTCTAAAATACATAATTGATTTGGACAAAAAAATATCTTGAGAAAGAGCATACAAATGAGACATTAATGAAAACTCTTGCTTTTCTTCTTTTCTCTCTTGATTTCTGCCTCTTGGCCATTAGATAATATGTCTGGTAAGAGCAAAGAAAAAAGTCGCACCATTGGTTCACTTGCTATTAGGCAGTTGTTTTCAAGCTATCTTAAAGCAGGGTAGAAATTAAAGCTATTTCCTAAAATAGGGACAATAGTTTAAGTATTGTTTTCAATTAAGTATACTATAATTGTTCCCTGTGCAAATGCTTCTACGTAAGGCAAGCAAATTGTAATTATGACTAATATAATTATATATCATTATCTAAATTGTATATACTTCAGCCTAGGCCCAGAAAATGGATTCCTTATTCATCACATCCAGGAATTAGGCATTCACCCTAATCAATAATACATTGGTGACTAAGAAATGCTTATCAACAATTAGTTTGCAGGAGTGAAAAAAAAGAACACATACAGAAATGCTCATCTGAGGATGGGAAGTAGGGAAACACAGGCAATTGATTCAGTAAAAGAAACTTGACTTTGAAGGTCCAAAGATATTTCAGTTCCATAACAGAACAAGGCAGGGAGTCTTTGTGGATATTTGAAACAGGGAAGGAAACATTGTCAGGGCATGAAAAGGGAACTTTTTTGCCCTTGGATGGGCAGGGAGGAGAAGTAAGAAGTGGGAATTACTCTGCGCCAGCGACTAGTAAATTCAAGAATAAAACAAACACAACAGAATCCAAACAAAAGGATACAATGGACACACTTAGGAGAAAGGAACTGGGTTTCTGAACCAGGTTTTAAGACCCTGCTATGAGCTATATGATACATCAAGAGATAAGTGCTTCCAACCCTGTACCTTTTCAGAGCTCCATAAACTCTGGACAATGTACTGAATTGACTCACAGCATGACCTCCATGAGGGAAAAATTGCTTTTAGGGAAAGCCTTTCTGAAAACCTATACAACTTAATGAAGATAAGCTCTTTCCAAATGAAAATAATTCTTTCCAAGCAGATCAGGAGGAGGTTAGAACTGCACATTCTTAGAAGAATGACGAAGGGCCTGAAAACTAATTTAGTCCAAACCCCTAACACAATAGAGATTTCTGCTGAAGTCTTAGACAAACTGTTCTCAGGCAGATGCTATAACCGTAATGCAGTCACTTATTTAGTGTCTCATTTAACCCATCAATCCATGAAGTCAACCTTTCACTTGCAAAATACGGAATCGCCAGAGTACCAAAAGTAGGATAGGGATAGGATGGGGAGGAAAGGAGGTCACAGTGCCAGGTGTACCTAAATGTACTCAGGAGAATGTTCCATACTTGCATTCAATGTTGACTTTTTTATCCCAGTGCAGAGAATGTGATTACTTGTATCTCAGCAAGTGTAACAACAGGCATTACTGTTGACAATAAAAATAAGTCATCTTTTTTTAAAGCTTTTGCTGGTGATTGACATTATGGTCTCTCTTGGCAATAAACTCTGGAGGTGAAGTTCTAGAATTTGAAGAAGCATTTATGTGTTATAGACAGCATTTAAGTAATTCTCATCTAGCCTGGCCATATAGACAGCTTAAATAAGAGGCATAGGCTTTTTTAGTCCACATGTCACTTCCTGACAAGAATTTGATTTAACTTCTATCTTTATCAAGTGATGAAATGTACTTCTGTCATGATATCCATTCCATCTGAATGGCAGCCAGCAAATGTGTTTTGGCTAATTGTGTTGGTTCCTGACAATTGTTGATTCCATAGCATACTCCTTCTGTAAGAACTTCAATGGCAATGCTTTCCTCAAGAAACTGTCCACACTGTTGTGGAACTATTTATATTAATATTTAATGATGTGCAGGATGATGGGACTGGGAGATTAAGAAATTATGCTGTCCCTATGTTCATAAGCGAGCATGTGAATATGTTTCATTTTTTTCTATGAGAACTACCTGCTAACCAACCCCATGTTTACATTCTTGGTCTTCTCTGAGTCATGCCGCCCAATTCTGCTAAAATGACCTCCGTAAAGTGCACATCTACCCATGACATTCCTAGACTTAAAACACTCCGATGATTCCCAAATGTCTACAGAGCAAAGTCCAAGCAGACTAACGTAACTCATAATACCTTTATGGACAGGTGTCTACTTGCCTTCCTGGACTCATTTCTCATTATTCCTTACCTTGTATTATGGATCCACAGCAGACATAGTTTATTCTGTGTTTCATGCATTTACTCAGGCTGTGAATCTTTGCTTGGTTAACTTCTCATCCTTTAAGAGCTCATTCTTTCTTCATGGACTCTTCCGCTAATTCTTTTCGACTGCAGATGGTATGAGTACTTCTCCATACTCCTTTCTTCAATTATTGTGTGCAAATCCTTATCATCACATTTATGGTGCTTCATTGAAATATGTCAGTGTGTTTGTTCCTATTAAACTGTAAACTTCTAGGGGCTACATTCTTAGTTTCTGGCAGTGAACCAGCAGGCCGGTGGTGTCTCTGTCCAAGGACAGGAAAAGACTGATGCCTCAGCTCAACCAGTCAGGCAGAGAAAGCATATTTTCCTTTCTCTGTCTCGTTGTTCTATTCAGGTTTTCAGTGGATCAGATAATGCCCACTCACACTGGGGAGGGCAATTTGCTTTATTCAGTCTGCTGAATAAAATTCAAATTCAAAAATATCCATTTGAATTTATTCAAATGGAAACACTCTCTCAGACACATCCAGAGATAATGTTTAACCTAATAACTAAGAATCCACTGCCCAGTCAAATTGGCACATAAAACTAATTGTCACAACCTCAAATGTTAAGTCAAGGTTTAGACTAATTTGTACATGGTATGATTCCAAGGCACTTTGTGTGTTAGGGAAAATTGCCTGAATATGAAAATTTTATTTGGGGACAATGAATCTGATATCAAATTGTAAAAGGAAACACAGAAGAAAGCAGAAAAGACTATACATGTGAGTCCTGACACGTGAGGTCATAAATGCCAAACTCTAGAGTTATGAATGGGGGAAGGAAAGTAAGAGGTAGCTATAAAAATAGTTGTTAAAGTTTTCAATGCTTTCACTGGGTCAAGAATTGTGTCAAGTACCATTTAAATCTCACACAAACTGAATGGAGCAAACGCTGAAGTCTGGGGTAATTCAGGTTCAGGTTTAGCAACTTGCCTGAAGTCATGCTTCAGAGATTCAATGCCATTCTCTGTGATAAACCCTTACTCCTTCCACTGCGCTGCTCTGCCTCTTGGCCAAGTGGGTAAATACATTCAACAAACACACCTGGTGTAAAATCCTGTGGATATAGTATGACTCTCAGGGCCTTCTTCACATCTTACAAATGTTTGATGAATTTGGTAAAGTCAGGAGAAAGAAAAACAAAGAGGTGTATGCAAAGGACTGCTATCTTCTTTATCCTCATTTGTAAATCAACCTAAATTAGACAAGGTTACCAAATATCACCTAAAAATTGAAACTCAAGAGCCACTATTTTTAATTTAATGAAACCACCAAAGATGTTCAGCATGAGTTCTGTGAAGGGCAAACTACTATGACTTTTAGTTCCTAAAATGATGCTGATAAATGGGGTAGTCTGAATAGTGGGTTCCCCAAAAGATATGCATGTCCTAATCCCTGGAACCTGTAAATGGCCAAAAAAAAGACTTTGCATGTGTGATTAAATTAAAGATTTGAGATGGGGATATTATCCTGGATGACCTACGTGGGCCCTACAGGCAATCTCCAGCAACCTTAGAGGAGAGCAGAGGGAGGTTGCCCAGAAGAGAAGGCAATGAGACCACAGAGAGATGCCTCCCCAGCACAAGGACTGCTGGCAGCCGCCAGACACAGCCAGCCTGCCTCAGGCCTCCCAAGGGAGCGTGGCCCTGCTGACACTTGGATTTTGTCCAGTGATACTGACTTTGGACTTCTGCTTCTGGCCTGCAGAACTGTGAGAGAATACATTTCTGTTGTTTCAAACCACCAAGTTTGGGATAATTTGCTAGCAGCCACAGGCAACTAGTATAATGGCCAAAAGACATTGGAAGGCCTAAAATCACCAACACCCTGAAATCTCAATAACACATCACTGGATTATACCCTTTTCACAAAGAAAACTGTTGCAGAGGGTGGGGAATTCTTCTTCCTGGCAGTGTTTTATGGGGAATTTGGGTTGACCTTGGAAGACAAGAATATCATGACTTCCCAGACTTTGTTTACTCCACATGCAGACTCTTTTACAGCCATCCCTCCCCGACTGCCCACGTAGACTGCCACTACTGCAGACTTGACTGATGTTAAGACGTTAGAACTGACAAAATAAATGAGTGCTAATAAAACAGTGAAGTGTTCTGCTGTCGAGTTACTGAACCAGTGAAGTGGTTTTTATAAGACCGTGATGAAACCGAATAATTGGATACTGTGATGAATTTCAGGAATCCCAGTTTTGATGGTGTTAAGATTATGAGAAGTGTTAGGCGGTGAGACCATGCTCCCTTTGTCCACAGGCTCAGTGGGATGGCTTGACTGGGCGCATCACCTTCAATAAAACCGATGGCTTGAGGAAAGATTTTGATCTGGATATTATTAGTCTCAAAGAAGAAGGAACTGAAAAGGTAAGCTTCTCAGTAATAAATTAAAAAATAAAATAAAGGACACTGCTCAAGCATTTTAATTACACATACAAGTAGGGACATAGTAAATGATTCTCCCAGCATGTTCATTTACATCCAGTTTTCTAGATCTCTCTCTGTCTTGCTGATCTGCAGGTAGAGGTTGATGGGCTAGATTCTTAAATTGTATGTGTTATTAATAGCAAGGCAAATGTTCATACAGTGCTTGGCTTATGTAGCAAGCATGATTCTACTATTTCATATATATAACTGTATGGGTGTCAGTAGCTCCATTTTTCAAAGGCTTTAAGAACTTGAGTTTATACTCAGAAAATCAGAAGCTGTCAATGGTTTATCTTTGTAATTAGTCCCAAGAGTTACTCAGAAATAAATTTTCATTTCACTCCATTTTAAGATCAGTGATGGAGGGACAGAATAAAGTAGAATAGAAAAGGCTTCATGGAGCAAACTGACTTTATATCCCTAATTTTAGAAGAAAATATGCCAAATACTATATTTCAGTGTTGGGTTCTGATTTCAGGATTATTTTAGTTGTAATTCTCAAGCTCTTAGAATTTCAAGTTCCATTTTAGTTCAATGCAAATGTAAACTATTTAGTTAAATAATAATGATAAAAGACTGTGGCTCCTCAGTGTATTTCATTATAGCAATGTAAGTAGTCACAGCTATACATTGGAATTAGTCAAGACAGTGTGAAGATTTGCCTTTTAGGACCTTAAGGAAAAAAAGATTTCAAAACCCACAAACAATGATTTGAACATCAAAACTCTATAATCCAACATTTTTTCACTATCGTGGACAAGAAGGTATGCTCAGTGTACAAGAGTGGCTTTGAGAATAATCAGTTACTGACTTAATTGAAATATTTGGGTTGATTTTTAAAAGGAGTTAAGGTTGCTATTTCTGTGTTGCTGCTTTTGCTAACTGAGACGCATTTATTTTCTGCCCCATCTCCAAATAGCTTAATTAAAACAAAGATTAATTAGGCTGCATGTCATAGATGGTGAGCACTGGTATTGAAATGTTTTTAGAAAATAATGTTTGCAGCTTTGAGACTGCTCATGAAAGATGCAGGTTTCCCTAAGTGAAAATGCCCTCTTCCTCTCCCTGCCTCTCGGCCTCCAGAGCGTCGTCATTCTGGTCTGCTTGTGTGTAGTTTAACAAGTTCTGACAGAGCACATGCGTGCACCTTGCCTCTGTGGTGGGATGTGGGAACAAAGAAGAGAAAAAATACTTGTTACTGGCTAAAAGCCTATCATGGTTTTTTTAAAGAAAATGTCTGTTTCTCTATACATGCCTTTCTCTCCATCTCCACTCCTCTCAATGCACAGAATCGAAAGGGGAAGAAAAGCTGTTAAGGAAACGTCTTTTTGGCTGAGATGTGTGATGAGGTAGATGGAGCTATGGTTATGCTCTCACAGCTATTTTTATACACTGCAAGATGGCGCACATTTTATCGGGGTTTTTCCATCAAAGGCAAAATCAAATTAGGTGATAGTGTTTTCTCGATTTGTTTCTTATCTCTTCATCATTTGCATAACTTTTCTTTCTTTAGGTGACTTGGGCTCAGTCTCTGGGTTGGGTCTCCAGGCAATGGAGGGAAGCTAACCCATCCCTCAGGATCCCAGGGAGGAAATGCCCATTTGTTCGTGTCAGCCTCTCACAGGTCCACAGGGAAAACTTCTCGAGAACCGTTAAAAAAAAAACACATTTTTTTCACTTTCACTCAAGTCTCTGTTGCCTGAAAGCCCATAATCAAGGAATAGGTCATTAAGCATGCTTTCTTCTCACTTAGGATTCATGTGTGTGTATGTTGGCATGGTGGGGGGAGTGTCTGTTTGTTGACTGACTGACTGATTTTGGTTACAAATGCCTTGAACAGGTCCTCTTAAGGAATGGTGAAGTCCCATTAAGCCTGCAGGAAATCTGTGCATATCCAAAAGAATGTTAAGTCATTCTTTTTTTTGGTGTATGAAAGAAAGTGGAATTCAGGTTGTAACACCAAACAGAAGTAAACTCTGTGGAACCCAAGGACTTGGTTCATCTCTCTGCTGTACCTATTTTCAAGCTTTATATTGAATTAAGATGCAAACTTCCAAACACTGGGTGGGGGGTGTGACACTGAGCAGTCACACACCATGATACTTTTTGGGTTCCATGCTCCATTTTAATTAAGTGCTATTTTTATTTTTCCCTCTGGAAACCAAGGCTGCTGGCGAAGTATCTAAACACTTATATAAAGTGTGGAAGAAGGTTTGTACTCGGACAGAAACTGGAGGAAATGTGGGAGGGGGGTGGGGAATGTCGAAGGAAAAGACTGCATCCTGACAGTTTTGCCAGACCAGTAGATCTTCAATTGCAGTTTAGAGGTGATAATCTATGTAAAGGCAAAATGGGGCTGATGAATATGGTGCCTCTGAACAGCATTACTGTGAATCGGAAACAGGCTTCAGATGGATTAAGTAATAATAGATTAAAAATGTCCCCCTAGATTATTTTTGTTTCTCCCAGGCAGAATCAGTCCCTGTTAGGATGGAGAGCAGGTAACTGTGGCAGAAGCAGATGCTGGTCCGTTTATATTCCTTCTCAATTCACTAAATATTTTCCCTAAGGGACATGGAAACAATAGATTTTATCCATCAGACTAGTCAGATAGGCTAAAGCTCAGAAGACCAGGACATCTCCTTCAATGTCACCACCACAAAATATAAGCCATTTCCAGAAATTCCCTTTTCTTATGAGCTATGTTTGTTTCGCATGGCATCTTTATCACTGCATATTATCTCACAATTTGTTTTAGAACCAGTTGCCAGAGGACAAAAGCGTTAGAGACATTGGAAGGCAAATGAGATTATCTTGTATATTATAACAACCACTATTGCATCATTTATTGTACAGTATCATGTTGTCAATGAATGTGCACAGATTTATTAGATAAGCAAATGTTAGATGCTAAAAACATTTGGATCAGAAAAATGACATGCCAATATTGCCTTTCATTCTCTGTAAAACTACTTGCTGAAACATCTTTTGATTGATGGATGGCCTTTAAATTACTTCTGGTTCAACTTGAAACATTTTGTTATGTTCACGTTCATCTTTTGAATCATGAGTTAAGTCATGGAAGGAGTAAACAGATACTTCCTGTGGTCAAAATCTTGTCTCCTTCTTAATAGTGCTCAGTAGATGAGCTCAAAAATGTCCTCCTTTTAAATTTAAAAAACACAGGTTTTATAGCCTTGATTAATCTTCAATGTATTAGGCTACCAAAGGCATGTAGGAGTCAATCCCAATTCCTCACTGCTGATAAATAAATGAACCTCCGTGGCACCCAGAAAGAAGCTTATTATTGGATCAGCTTGAGACTCCGAGCACTCCATGCAATACTGAATTAATTCAACCAGATACCCTAGGGAATGGAATCCAAGCTCTGAAATTATACACCGGGAAGTGGACTGTCCTTTATTTGTTACTGAACTGCAATCATCATCCCACTTTCCAGGGATGCAATATCTTGGCTTTGTGCTCCCTGAATGCCTTTGTGCTTCTCCCTTCCTGCTGCCCTTTGTGTTGTGTAAGTTGTACATACTGTGGTGTGCCGTTTTGTGTAATGACTACTCACCAAAAATTTACAGTGCCCTGAGTGCTAGCACACTCTTGATATTCAAACCCAACACATCATCCTTTCCCAACAAGACTCCACATAAAAGAGAAGACTGCACCCTCAATGCACTCATATTCCAGAAGCTCTTTCCGCTCCAACCTTTTTTAATAGAATAATCCACCTGAAATTCTTCCCAAAAGAGGGATGTAGCAATCTTTACAAATCCCACCACTAAAATAATGTGTCCATACATTCCATGATACAAGAAACAGCTATGCCTTTTATTTTTTCATAAATACTTGATATTTCACTCAGCAATATTGGATTTCTGACCTTATGCAAGTCACTCTGTAGGTTTGGAAGAAAGATACTAGTCACTCTCCAAACACCCTTTTGTTGTGTCCCTTTTTTAAAAAAAAAGTTCTTAGTGTCATTTGCTCACTCATTTTCAAATGCTTCCCTTGGCTATCCTAGATAATGAATGGCTGCTGCCACAATGTCCCTTTATGGAGTGAGAGAAAGCAAGACCAGACAATTAGGCTTCTGAGTGATTCTCCCCACAGAGAATGAATCCACTTTCTACTACTTCTCACTGGTGGATTACTGCTGTCTGCTTTTGCTATACAGTTTGAAAATTGTAGTTCTGTTTCCTGGAGGCCCTCCTCCAAGGTCAGAGAAAAGAACTGATGCTAAATGTCCAGGCATCTGGTTACTGTATCCTTCACCAGCACACATGCCTCTGGAGATATGCTTCCTGGACAGAGATGTTCATGTGCTGAGGTGTCCATTTACTTCAGTTAACAGGAAAAACCAGTTGACTACTTAGATTTAAAGTACACACACAACGGGTTAACATCCAAAACATATAAAGAACTCACATGCCTCAATACCCAAAAAACAAATAAACCTATTAAAAAATGGGCAGAGGATATGAACAGATACTTCCCCAAAGAAGAAATTCAGATGGCCAACAGGCACATGAAAATATGCTCCACATCCTAATTATCAGAGAAATGCAAATGAAAACCACAGTGAGATATCACCTCACACCAGTTAAGATGGCCAACATAGAAAAGACTAGGAACAACAAATGCTGGCGAGGGTATGGAGAAAGGGGAACCCTCCTACACTGTTGGTGGGAATGTAAACCAGTTCAACCATTATGGAAAGCAGTATGGAGGTTCCTCAAAAAACTAAAAATAGAAATACCATATCACACTGAATAGGACGCTGGGTCTTAGTTGATTGGAAATGAGCTGCAAAGATATCTGACCCCACTCTTTGTGGGGCTCATAAAGGAAATAAAAGCCAGACTTAAAGCTGTGAGTGCTTTTCGTCAGCCATTTCAAGTCTGTATTTCAAAAGAGAAGGATGTTGTGAGGCCGTTCAGCACTGCCATTTTCAATTATTAGTATAGCTCCTTTAAACACACACTTGACATTAATAGAAACACACTCCATTACTTAAGAAATTAGCTCCAAACACAGTTAGTTTCTCCACCTTTCAATACTTAATTAAAAACTAGGTTCCATTCTCCCAAGTGCCTAAGTCAAGGTTTCATTAGGAGGACAGGCAGGGCCCAATTAATACACAGCCTTCATAGAGCTAGAAATCAATTATTCACAACCTAAGCATGGCTTTGCATGACACCCAATAGATTCCAAGTGTGTTTAGCTCTGACTTATGTTTCCTAAAGCAAGGGTCCATGCCTCAAAAAAGTGAGAGAATGGTAGGGTGAGGTTGAAGAGAGAGAGAAAAAAAATTGTCCTCCTTTCCTGGGTTTAAAACCAGCCAAGAAAACCCAAGATTCTTCAACTAACAGACACAATGTTTACTGTGCACATTTTGAGCTAGAGCGTCGCACTTGATCCTGGAAAAACTGGTTATTAAAGGTGCTGTCCTTCATCCCAGGCCCTGCTTCTAGAAACCTCTTTACACACAGGATCAAAATATTTTCAAATGCAAAAACTGAGTCCCTGAGCCCCACTGACCTACTGTCTCCTTACTCACCAATCAACTACTAAATAGAGAAAGAAAGAAAAACAGGAAAATAGAGATATGTCACACTATTGTGTGAATGTGTGATATTCTTTAAACTTCCTCAAAGACTTTACATGTCTAAAAAGGACATTTGTCAAGCTAAATGAATTTCCAGCTACTGTATTTAGGTAGCAAATCAAAGTAAAGAAATAGAAAAGGAAAGGAGAGGCCTAAGATTCCCATGGGTGGTATGTTATTTAATCATCAGAAAAGCCCTCTTATCTCCATTTTGCTGGTGAGGAAACTGAGGCCCAACAGGTTTAATTAACTTGCCCAGGTCACACTGTTGGTAAATTGCAAAGCTTAGGATCTGTCTGTAAAGCTTGTCATCTGTCCAGCTAGCCAAATGTCCTCCCGTTGGTGGAATATATTCAGGGATCAGGCATAGGTCTACCCTGTCCAACCCAGAGTCTGTCCAAGTGTAAGTGTTCTTAAACTACCCCTATTTTTCATAGCTCCTTTACTTTATCTGCTCCTATATTATAAATAAATAAATAAATAAAAGAATTTCACTAACAACTCCAAGTTAATCCACAACAGGACAAGCTTAAAGAAATTACCAGAGCATTCATTTAGCTGTCCTTTTATTATTAACATTTGTGTAGTTCTGAATATATACCAACATTTCACATGCATCTTCTCATTTGATCTTCTCACTGCCCCTATAACATACTTTGCAATTAGAGAACCAAAGCTCAGAAGGGTTAGCATCCTGTCCAAGGTCACACATCAGTTAGGTTTGCCCCGCTCTGAAGCACATCTGTGTTCGGTCTCACCATCCTGGAAGTAAATGCCTAGAGAACATTTCAGATAAATAGCACAAGTCCCTGAATTGCTTCTCCTTAGTGCCTACAAAGGCTAAACCAATCAATATATTTCTATAGAGCCTAATAACCCAGGAGTGACTTGGCCACTGTAGAAAATTGTGGGCCATTACTTTTTAAAAGAGCAATGGGTTTTGCTGACTGTCAATCACCACGGGTCTGCGGTATAAAGCTCAGTGAGCAATACAAGTGAAAACCCTCATTGAAGAGTTCATAGTCAAATGGATGGACAAGACAGGCAAACGAATGAATAACAGAAGATAAGCCCAGAACAGAGGTACAGGCAGAATCCTACAGGAGTACACAGGAGGCACCCCTACCCAATACTGGCCCCTCAAGGAAGACAGGCCAGAACTTAGTGGACTGCTCATCCACACCTTTTCTTCCATTTATCTTTCTCTTTTAGATGCCCAGACTCTCCATCATACACCCTGCTCCCTCCATCCCATTCCTTATAAATTTTTAGAGCACCAATGGTACCACTTTGGCAATGTAGGGTTTGTATCAATAGAATGTAACCTCTACAAGGGCAGATGTTCTGTGTGTTTTGTTCATTGCTATATTCTCCAATGCCTAGAGATATGTCACACTATTGTGTGAATGTGTGATATTCTTTAAACTTCCTCAAAGACTTTACATGTCTAAAAAGGACATTTGTCAAGCTAAATGAATTTCCAGCTACTGTATTTAGGTAGCAAATCAAAGTAAAGAAATAGAAAAGGAAAGGAGAGGCCTAAGATTCCCATGGGTGGTATGTTATTTAATCATCAGAAAAGCCCTCTTATCTCCATTTTGCTGGTGAGGAAACTGAGGCCCAACAGGTTTAATTAACTTGCCCAGGTCACACTGTTGGTAAATTGCAAAGCTTAGGATCTGTCTGTAAAGCTTGTCATCTGTCCAGCTAGCCAAATGTCCTCCCGTTGGTGGAATATATTCAGGGATCAGGCATAGGTCTACCCTGTCCAACCCAGAGTCTGTCCAAGTGTAAGTGTTCTTAAACTACCCCTATTTTTCATAGCTCCTTTACTTTATCTGCTCCTATATTATAAATAAATAAATAAATAAAAGAATTTCACTAACAACTCCAAGTTAATCCACAACAGGACAAGCTTAAAGAAATTACCAGAGCATTCATTTAGCTGTCCTTTTATTATTAACATTTGTGTAGTTCTGAATATATACCAACATTTCACATGCATCTTCTCATTTGATCTTCTCACTGCCCCTATAACATACTTTGCAATTAGAGAACCAAAGCTCAGAAGGGTTAGCATCCTGTCCAAGGTCACACATCAGTTAGGTTTGCCCCGCTCTGAAGCACATCTGTGTTCGGTCTCACCATCCTGGAAGTAAATGCCTAGAGAACATTTCAGATAAATAGCACAAGTCCCTGAATTGCTTCTCCTTAGTGCCTACAAAGGCTAAACCAATCAATATATTTCTATAGAGCCTAATAACCCAGGAGTGACTTGGCCACTGTAGAAAATTGTGGGCCATTACTTTTTAAAAGAGCAATGGGTTTTGCTGACTGTCAATCACCACGGGTCTGCGGTATAAAGCTCAGTGAGCAATACAAGTGAAAACCCTCATTGAAGAGTTCATAGTCAAATGGATGGACAAGACAGGCAAACGAATGAATAACAGAAGATAAGCCCAGAACAGAGGTACAGGCAGAATCCTACAGGAGTACACAGGAGGCACCCCTACCCAATACTGGCCCCTCAAGGAAGACAGGCCAGAACTTAGTGGACTGCTCATCCACACCTTTTCTTCCATTTATCTTTCTCTTTTAGATGCCCAGACTCTCCATCATACACCCTGCTCCCTCCATCCCATTCCTTATAAATTTTTAGAGCACCAATGGTACCACTTTGGCAATGTAGGGTTTGTATCAATAGAATGTAACCTCTACAAGGGCAGATGTTCTGTGTGTTTTGTTCATTGCTATATTCTCCAATGCCTAGAACAGTGCCTGGCACATAAGTAGGTGCTCAGCAAACACATTGGAAGATATATCTGATACTCATTTAAGAATTATTTATTTAAAAAAGAACAATGAACTCAACAAATTAAAAACAATTGGGGTGGACTTCCCCCAATCCACCCCAAATAGTACAAATTTCCCCTGTTCCACCAACATACTCATTGCTCCATTGTTTTGTTTTCCCACAATTAGTAGTTACCACTGTGATGTCCCAGCATCCTCTTCCCAGACAATGAGCTTTTGGGTCTATTCCTGCTGTAGAAGGGGCCTCTCTCTAGTATAAATGCCATCACCGACAGCCAGCAGCCTCTGATGTACTGTGCTCTGTGTAGATTGGGATTTGGAACTCCAACAGTGGGCTTAACATGACAGATGGCAACAAAGACAGGTCCAACAATATCACCGATTCACTGGCCAATCGAACCCTCATCGTCACCACCATTCTGGTAAGTTGATTCTAGAATTCAGACTGCCATACCCAGACTCTTATCCTAAACACTGAGGGATTCCTCATCTCTCTTTATCATGCTGATCACTCTTGTCTGCAAATGTCTATTTTTAATTGGCACACTAAAAGCATATGTTCATATATACCTGCATTTGGATTGAATTTTAAGCTTCCACCGGTGTTCTAAAGATCTGCCTCCTTCACGCCATCCTCAGCTCTTCTCTGCCCCACTGTCCAGCCCCAGCCAGCTGGTCTCATTGCTCTCTGGCTGCAGGGAGGTTTCAACCCCCAGGAGACTCTGGCTAGAGACCAGGGAGTGTCAGAGAAAAGTGAGGTCATTTCTTCCCCTGCCTCCCAGTGATTTTGTTAGAACTTCTGTCCTTCACAGCCACCACTCCTGTCCCATCAATGACCCTGCTTCCACACTCCGGCTGTACTGGACTCCAGGAGCACCATTTCCTCCTGTCCGTCTCAGTCCCGACTACCACCAGTGTCCTGATTATGTTGGTCCCTGGGTGTCTACACTGCCCTTGCTCTCACTTCCATCCTTGTTGGATCCTTTTGCCCTTCTCACTCCTCTGAAAAAAGCCTCTTTATTAGCTACTCTTCAAAGACCCGGGCATAGGTACTCCCTGCATCCTATGGGAACAGTCATCATGCCCCCTTCCAGCCACTGCACACCTACAGGTTGTTCATTCTCCCCCTTCCCCAACCCTAACCCAAGGGATAAAGGGCAGGATTGGCCAACTCTAAAATCCTCACTGTCAGACATTCTTGCTTTGTTAGATTCCATCCATAATGTCAGACCAATTGCTTTCTGAAACCATTAACTTCTGAGATTTGTTCACCCAAAATAAAAACTGTTTTGTTTTTCTGGTGATTATTTTCTCTGCAACTATCTCGTAGAAATGCAGTTTTCTATTTCTATCAGTTTCTTTTAAGATAAGCCTTAACAGGACTTAAATGTCTGGGAAAAAAATGCATAATGAGAAGAAGTAAAAGTATAGCAGTACTATAGCAACTATTATACTTTCATAAAATAAAACTAATTTTCATTTAGTCAAATAAAAATTAATAAGGTTATAGATAAATGGTAGTAAAGAAATGTCCATATTCATAGAATAGGGGATTTATCATGTATGGAAAGAAAAAAGAATTACCGAATCTAAGATTTGAGGTGAGTTCAAGTAAGAAAATGAAACTGATGATAAAAGAAGATATAGAAATAGTCTTTGAATAGATACCCTGAAGAAAACCAACCAAAATATGTAGAGAATAAATGAATAGTGAAACTGAGATGAAATGTAGCTGAGAGATGAGGAAATGATAATATTCAGTACATAGAGAATTTGAAGAACAAGAGGATATATTTGCTGATTTGGATGTCCAGTTTGTTAGTTGGTGAAGTTCTTTGATAAAAGCCAGAAAGGAGGCAGGTCATGCAAAGACAGTGTGGGTGTGGGCACACCTGGAAGCCAGAAATCCAGACATCTGGTCCCCCATTGCCCTTTCCACTTAGACCCAAAGCTCAAAGATGCCTGTGTCTCTATCACACATCCACTCACAGCCCTGCCCTCAGCAGTGGAGGAAACCACACTCATTCAGAAAGGGGGCAAAAGTAATCCAGGAAGTGTTCCTTATTTGTAGAGGAAACAGGAAGGATGAGATTAGCAAAGGCAGGAAGGGGAGGGACTGATTTCAAGACTTTCAAATTGTAAACTTTTTTAAATCTTCAAGTCCTTAAAATCTATTCATATCTTGAAATTCTTTCAAATATTTTACAGCTTCTGGCTGTTGATGGAGCTTGTGTGAATAATTTGTCTTCCGTCATAACACAGTTTTCACATTTGGTGGGTTTCCTGTAGGAAGAACCCTACGTGATGTACAGGAAATCTGATAAGCCCTTATATGGAAATGACAGATTTGAAGGATATTGTCTGGATCTGTTGAAGGAATTGTCAAACATCTTGGGTTTCATTTATGATGTTCAGCTCGTCCCTGATGGTAAATATGGAGCCCAGAATGACAAAGGAGAGTGGAATGGAATGATCAGAGAACTTATAGATCACGTAAGCAAACATACATCTCCTATATGTGGGTTTTAAGTGTCTAGAAAAAATTCAGACTGAAAAGAAGTAAAAGAAAAGAGAAAAAATGGTTATGTCCAAATCAGAAGAAATGTTTCACTTTTTCGAATCCAGTGGTTTAAAAAGTAAGAGAAAACAACCTAGAAATGGAGTTTGCTTCCTTGGAGGGGCAAGTAGGGATAAAAATTGAGGATAAAAATGTACGGGTCTATCCTTCATTCTAAAGAATAAACCACAGTGATTCTTAAATTAGATAAAGAATTCTACAGTTTGCACTTGAGAGCAAAATCTCAGCTTGTCAGCTAATTTTATGATCAAGTTGCTCATTCCTTGCTTTTCTCACATGCCCTTTTGAAAGACATCCCCCTGCAATTTTTTCCTCCATTTAGTTCCAGAATGCATATATGCCTGTCTGTGTGCATTTCATACCTTCTGGCTTCTCTCTGCTAATAAATACAATTTAATGAGCGTAACTGGGTAAATCAACTACCCGAGCCAATCATCAAAGAAGCTTCTTGAGTCAGAAACGTTTGCAGTTGAGAACAGGGATCAGGAGTGCCCAGGGAAAGTCCAGACATTCTCTGGGAAGCTGGACATGTAAGCCAATGGTTTCAAACTTGCTTTTGCAGAGGGCTGATCTGGCAGTGGCCCCTCTCACCATCACTTACGTGCGAGAGAAAGCCATCGACTTCTCTAAGCCCTTCATGACCCTGGGCATCAGCATCCTCTACCGGAAGCCCAACGGCACCAATCCAGGAGTCTTCTCCTTCCTCAATCCCCTGTCTCCTGACATTTGGATGTATGTGCTTTTAGCCTGCTTGGGCGTCAGTTGTGTACTCTTCGTGATTGCAAGGTAAGTTCGAGAAATACTGAACTTAAAACAGATCTAGGTCACCTTCTGTTTGACCGGTATGCTGAAGAGGTACACATCAATTAAGAACTTTAAAAAGTTCTTTCAGTTTTGCCTACTGTTGTGTTCTGTCAAGTTCTCCCTCATAAAAGCCACTCTATAAATGAATACCTTCTAACTATTAACAAGGTACTTTTAAAATGCAGTAAGAAGATAAACTTATCATTTAATTGTATCAGTATTTCATGCAACACAAAATGGTTATTTACCCATTTCCCCTGAATCATCTTATAACAACAGCAGTGGCTCTGCTAATAAATCTGAAATATTTCGACAGGAAAAGTAAAATGGTGTCCAGATACCAGACCCCTGAAATATTTGTTTAAGCAAAACAGAAAAAAAGTTAGCTAGAAATTGTTGTAACAAATAAATACTGGAACATAAGACTGTGAAACCTTCAGAAAAATACTTTGAAAATTTTATTTAAAAACATTAGAGAGTTAACAAGAAAATTCTAGAAATAACTGTGAAAGCAAAGATAATTTACACATAGAGTCAGAGGCATGAAATTATTCAGGTTGGGTTTTATTTTCCAAGATAGCTCTATGTTTAACCATTTCACTCTACACAGTTCTTCAAAGGACTTTTATACCTTTCACTAGATTGTATTTTCTAAACACCTTTGATGCTGAATTTGAAACACAGCTATTTTATCTCCCTATTGGCTTACACATTTGATATCCCTAGAAAGATGATGCAAAAATGTAATTGCTTTTCTATATCCCATACTCATTTTAAAATTTTTCATCTTTAAACCAAACTCAGTGAACTTTTTCCCTAATCAATTTTTGTTTTCCCTCCAGGAATTTCTAAGAGAAATATTTCTTCATGGTAGCTCTTGTCATTGTCCACTGCCTGGTTTTGATTAATGCCAGGTAACTCTTTCCCTGGCAAAATTATAAAGAAAACTTGGGAAAATAACCCAGGTTGGAAAGATTTTAAAGATCCATAAAGCAAACATAGTCAAACTAAATTAATATATGATTTCACATGTGGGTATTTATACATGCACTATGAAATAAATGTGTTCTCCATACCTTATAAAATGTACCATTACCAAATCCTAGATCATTTTTCAAGTTTTGGCCAAATATTAGACTACTTTTAAATAATGACCAAAGATCTTTCTCCATATGTCTTACCACAGAGTATAATATATTGACAGTATGTATAGTGATATCATCCTTTATGTCCTAAATCAGTGGTTGTGAATTAGAAGAAATCTTGTACCCCAGAGGATATTTGGCAATGTTCTGTAACATTTTTTGGTTGTCAGTTAAAGGTGGAGGATGCTGCTGTGTATCAAATAGGTAGAGTACAGAAATCCTGTTACACATCCTACAGTTTGAAGGACAGTCCCCCACAACAAAGAATCACCCACAAATGTCAATAGCACCAAGGTTGAATGACCATGCTCTAAATTATTAAAGACATTGCTTTGGATGTCAAATTTTAAAAGATAGGTCATTTGCCTTTGGACGTGTAGTTCTCATTACTGCTCCCAAGTGAAATTAATACTGCCCTAGCAGGCCACTTAATAAATGATTACAGTAAGGTAATGTACCCTCCAACAATGGGTAAAATATCTTGTGTCGGCTCGTTGTTCCATTCCTCTGCTCTGGTGCCCACACCTGTTGGGTGATATTAGGGACACGAGAGCAATCCCAGCAGCAGAGGACAGCAGAGAAGTGCGTATCCATGCCCCCAGTCTGCTACTCTGTGAGCAGAAGAGGCAAGGCCATGCTGATGAGCAACCACGCTGTTTGCCACGCTGACTTGATCAAAGGCAGTGGGAGAAAAACCACAGAAGCATCCAAAAGTTCTCACAAGCATGCAGGTTCAAAGTACCCTTTTACACTTGACCTCAAAGTGCCCTTAAATTCCCTTATTTTTGTCATCAGAATATGTCAGAGTAGTGGAACATTCAGTACAGGTTTTCCCCTTCCTTATTCTGTCTGTTCCTCTATAAGCTCTTGCTGACCCAGAGCCCTAAACTTTCTGACTTCATTCTATTCTATTAAGAAAATATCCCCCCAAAATCAATACTATCTACTCAACATTCGTACTCACTGACAATACCATTTATAAACCAGCCCTTTATTTAGCTTGTCCTCCTTACTGTTCCCTTCGTGCTGTCTTTCCTCCTGCTCTGGGTCTTGGGGAAGTGGAGTCACTAGGTATCAAACGCATACTTGAGAGCAGCTTGGTGGTGAAGCGTGGAAAATATCTCCCTGCCGTTCAAAGGTGCCCTGTCATGAGGGTCGTACTCTCAACCACGCTCATCCTCTCCACACTTTTAATCCATTCCTGCCTCTACTTCATAAAACTGCTAACCATATTTTGGAGGTAATTCCCAAAGACAAAATCCTTGTTGAAGAGGCTTGCCAGATCCCTTTTACTCCCCACCACTGTAGCTCGAGACCGTGAACTTGATCACCCCATACCAAAAAGCTAAGATGTAAAATCTTTCTGTTACCACCTTAGTAGTTTGCATTCAAAGTCAGTGAAGTAGAAAAGAAAAAGTTAATCTCATAATCATCTTTAGCTCTAGAGAGGCTTTTGAATTTACATTTTGAAGTATATCCTTTTATGTTCAATTAAAAGGGAAAAATAAAGCCCATCACTGCATTTAGGCTAATGCTCTCACTAGACAGATTCTTCGAAATCATTTGCTGACCTGAATTGAATTTATATAGTGAGAAAAACAAAGGAAAAGGATTTAAAAATTTTAGTTAATGTGACTTATTACAAAAGTGCACATCAGTTTTTTGTTTCATGGTTGGCTTTTTTTTAAAAATAACCTCAAGTATTTTATGTTCATCATGAACACACAATTTAGATAGACCAAATATCCAAAATACAATGTCGGCTTACATTTTATGATTTATGTTTATTTTCTTAAGTTCGCATTACCAAAAAAAAAAAAAATCAAGGAAAAATTTGACTGTAACTCTAAGATTGTAACACAAGCCCAGCAGTTATTACAAGTTCAAGTTCAAATAGAGGTTTCTCCTTTATGATCTTCCTCTCCCCAGTGCAGCCCAATATCCATTCTCAGCCATAAAAAGAGTATTTTAATTAGTGATCTTCAGTATGAGGATCATTTTATATCTTCCATATCTTCCATTCAAGAAAAAGCCTGGCATATATGAACATAACCCCCAAATGAGCCTCTACATTTCCACATAATGCTACTCTTTCATATGCAAATTTTGACACAGATTCTAAGCACATTTGTCCCTTTCTCTGTTGTTCTACTAAAGATCAGCATCAACTGGGGACAGCAGCTTCAGAGTACCATTGGTGCAGGTCACATATTGATTTTCCCACAGACTTCCTGCTGCTGACACTGCTGTCACCCTGGCTTTCTTTAAGCAGGCATAGGAATTTCAAATTGAAATCACTACGTGCAGGCCACAGGTAGGTCTGGGGCACTCTGAAAGCCAGTGTCTTGAAGCTCAGCAGCATGACAGTCTTCTTCAGTCCACACGTGCAACAAGTCACTCAGAATCCTGGAGAGAGTCTAAAATACCTCTTCAGAGGGGCAGAATCACATTACTGTTTAGACAGTTTTCCTTTTTACCATAGAAAATTAGATTACTTGTTACTTATAACTGCAAAGTATGAAACCCTGAAACAAGACCAAGTTCAAAGCAGCATTCCAAAGGAGGTGGTGAGCTCATTGATCAGCACATATATGGGGGAGAAGTACCTGAATATCAGTGGTGCTTAAGCATTGCAAGTTTTAGGTCTGTTTAGAAAAACTTAGCAATGCATAAGCCTGCTGATTTATTACAATCAGTATTTTTAAATTATTGTACAAGTGACAATGATATTGCTTAAGTAACAGAATCTTTACTCTGCACACAGTTTCAATTAGCAAGTTCATTAATGTTGCCATTCATTTCTTTAGCTCAGCAACCTACAATGGTTAGAAGAGTATAGAAATTCAAAGCTTAATTATATTGTTGAAACAGTTAATTAAAACGTATTGGCATGACATTGTCAATTAAAGCTATATTCATAAGCTTCACAGGAGCCCACACTGTGTGCCCTGGAGCTGTGGAGAAGGCACTGTAATGAATTGTATACCATTATTGTGGGATGAACCCCAAGGCTGTTATCCCAGTCCCCCTAAGACCTGATGAGGGGACACTGTATACTTTCCAGAAGGCATACAGGGGATTTAGGGAATGGCATTTCATTAAAAGGAACTGTCTGCCCAGTTCCCTGTGCATGATTCACAGTGTGCCCTGCTTTTTGCTATACATAATGTATGCACCTCAATCCCGGTTCTCCCCAATGTGTCAGCAACCTGCTATTGTTTACTGCTGAAATCTTATGGCTGCAGAGCATTCCATATGTTCTCATCGGTTTTATGGCATTTTAACATTACTCTAACACTCCTGCTTGCATTGAAAGAACCAGTGGCAAATGGCAAAGCTTCCGGTGCTAAGAACTACTGCGTTTTAAATCATTTCCTGATCACTTTGCAGAGCATCTGCTAATGTCTCTCTGGAAAAATAAGTGTCCCTTGGCAAGACAGCCCTAAAAAATAACCACAGAGCCAGGGCCTCCTTGGTCTGTAAAGGTCAGACAGATGTTTAGAAAACAGAGAAGGAACCAAAATTCTGTTCTGTTCCCTGAATTTTTAATACACCCCGAAAATGTCTGCATTCCCTCTTCTTTACAAATAAGGAAACTAAGGCAAGAGAGGTGAAGTGAATGACTGGCTCAAGGTCAACTTCCAGACTAACTAGGGCTGGAGATCAAGTGACTATACCCTGTAATTCTGGAAACAATGAAAAACAAATCAAAAAGGAATTATGAATCTAAAACTCCAGTGAGACATGCTTTAGAGTTAACACTAATGAACCCCTATGCCTAGGCCAGAACACTTCTAAGTTTTAACTTCATTTCTTCATTTAAGAATTGTGATTTTTGTTTCCATATATGTACTATCCTAAAAAAAAAAAAACAAAAAAAAAAACAAATACACCCAAATCCAGACCTTTTTGTTCATTACTTTTTTTAAGTTTTGCAGCCACTTTAATGCATTATGAAATCACTAAATCACAAACTTCTTGTAAGCATCTGACCACAGAGCCCCTAGGAGGCCCACCAGGCCTCATCTCGGCATCCTCCCACAGCAGTAAGCAAACCAATATCTTGACATTGTAGCTGGTACATAGCAAGTGTGTGTAGCAGTCATCACTAACTTGGTGGAATAACTCCTTGGGATGAGTGAACCCTGCTTTACGTTCATCTACTTGCTCAGTAAAAGGGAAATGAATGGAACATTCACAACTCAGTACATTTAGATCCAAGGAGTACAACTCCAGCCGACCAATGTCTTTGGCTTAGAAGTAAGTCTGGTAAATAGAATGTCTCAAGGCTCCTGTGCACTCTGCCCCCAACAGCTGTAAGTTTGTGAAACCAGCCTGTACTGTTTTGGTTTGATGCTTTTCTCACTGTTGTTTGTTGGGTTTTCTACATTGCTCAGCAGGTTTTCTGGTGCTGCTTGGGTTCATCTGATGTTCACAGACTGTTTCTGTTAACTGCCACAGGTTTACACCCTACGAGTGGTATAACCCCCACCCATGCAACCCCGACTCAGACGTGGTGGAAAACAATTTCACTTTACTAAACAGTTTCTGGTTTGGAGTTGGAGCTCTCATGCAGCAAGGTACACCGGTTGCCCATCTTTGTCACAGGCACCCCACAGTCTGCTGACAGGCTTTTGTGCTGTAAACTCCACCAAGGAACTGGAGGGTAGGCTCAAAAACCATCTCAGGAGGTAAAAACCTAGAACCTGACTTCCCAGCCAGTTCTAAAAATAACAGAGACAAAAATATGACCTAAATGGAAGTCCTTTGCTATGTATCTAAAATAAGACCTGTAACAAGCAGTGAATACCAATTTTCCTAGAGGGGAGTAAAGGATAAAGTATCTTATATTTTTTTTTACCAAATTTGCATAGATGGAGGGATCAGTCTTTTCTTCTTCCTTCTCTGCAAGTCAGAGGGTCTCAAGGAGTGAAATTCGAATCCTTTGAAAATTAAGTTGACTGAACATTCTTCCAATAGCTGGCAGTACCTAAAACTGTCACCTAATTACCACTCTGAGACCCTACTGGGATTCATCGTAGCTTCCCAGTAACTTTTACCATCTCCCTTAATTGGCAACCATAGCAATGATAAACTCTAGGGATTGGGGAAATAAAATTCAAACCATAGAAGAATAGCATACTTTATACATTTTTCTATAATTAGGGGGATTTTGATTTTGCTGGGAAGGGAAGAGTGAGCTGTCTTAACCTCTGGAAGAAATGCAGCTCTTTTGTAGTTTTTCCTCAGCTTTGATTCCAGGTGTATGGTCTAGAAAATATTCCTTAAGATTGAATGTATTAATTTAAGAAAATCATAAGTCACAGATGCTGTTGTGTTTGGAGTATCTGCACATTTGACAATAAGCTGCAAAAATAAATTGGCAAAAGAAAATTCAATTGAGACATATATTAAACCTGTTTATTACTTGGGGGTGAACTCCTAAGACTTCTCATGAGGGAGTGGATATCATACTACTTGAAATGGTTGTATTTTGTGTCTATGAACTAAAAGGAGAGAACAAGTGTCTCTACTGTGAAAACACCAAACAATTGAGGAGGGTGGGTGAATCCTCTCATCATGCAATTAAGCATAGTTTATGCAGGCACTGTTAAATAGATTTAGACACAGCCCCTGATTTACTAGAAATCACATGCATGTGTTTAGAGCATAGCACAGATAAATCTTTCATGAAAACCCATTAGAAGCCATACACTGCTTTACTGGTGCATTTAATTTTTAGGACATTTATCTTATGAGCAATTACTTTCAAGGAGTAAAGGAGACCCCCTTCCTTCCCTACAGCTTGTCTTCCCATACCATTAGAATAGAAAAATACAGACTTGGATGTCACAGAGCATGCAGACAGTCTGGGCAGGTACACATGACTGTGTCTGCCTTCTGTCATGTGAATGCACCTGCCCCCAAACTTCTCTTTCATATTCTACCTGTTTGGAGTTTACCATCATCCACAGCAAATCGTGGGGTGCAGTGTGTGCTAGTTACCACTACCTTGGGTACATGACAGTCAGCCCCAACCAGACTCTGCTTGTTTTTCAACAGGCTTAAAAATATTTATCAGGTGAAATAAATGTGGCCATATGTAAATTTGTGATACTGGTGACTGTGCATCTGTCCTTAGCATGTGACATTGGACCAGGTAGCTAACATCTGTATCGACTGTTGTGCTCTCTTATTAGCAGAAGCTTGTCACTGTACTCAATTGGAAACCATTGTGTTTAATTTCTTTTTTAATGTGATGATCAGACTTTCTCTTTTCTACAGAGCGTGAGCAAAGTCTGGATCAGGATTGGCTGTCATGTCTGCCGTAAAAGGCACTAAAGAGACTTCAGCAAGTATTGTCTCTCATCCCAAATATTTTCTAATAATATTTAACTCTACTTTCATTGCTTCCATAACTTCATCCTCTAGAGCTGGAACTTAGATAAACCATCTCTACTTGAGGGAAGCCATTTCAAAGTATATCAATCAACACTGAGAGTCATGAAAAGTTACAAGATTGTGTGAAAATAAAAACCACAATAAAATGTCATAAAATATAATTCATACCATCTACCAAGGTTTAAAATGTACTCTGACTAGCTTTCTACTAATTATTTTTTAATTTCCAAGATAACTTCACCAAAAGTATAAATATGTAAAGTGTGATAGATATGAGTCTATATTATTTATTACATGTCAATAGTTGGTTATCCATCTGTCTGTCCAGTTTCATTGCCATGTAATACATAATTATGAAAATGCACAAATAACAAATTAAAACTTTATCTTTTCATAAATACAACCAAATAACATAAGGTTAAACCTACAGCAGAAAATCTATACCTATGAACTATAAAAATAAACCTATTAATTGTATTACTTATTCCCCCTAGCTATTTTATGAAGTGAATGGTATTTTAATAACCAACTAAAAAGCTGACATAATATCATACAGGCACAAGGTTGCTAGAACAATTAAATATAAAGGTATGAAACAACCTTGGGCATTAAACACACAGACACACCCAGAGGCATATCAATCCCATCAAACCACAAGATTAAAACAACAAATTATACCACTAAATCCTTGGAGGCAATTTAGAGGAAATCGTTATAAATCTGTGTAATATTACACACCCAAATTCAAACAAACAAAAGAAAGAAATACAAACCACAATTAAACAACTGACCTCATTAAAAGAAAATGAAGTTCAAAGATAGCATTAGGAGAATGTGTCGGTTAATTCAAAGCCCAGAAACTCTGCCAACCTTGGTCTGCTTATCATGAGCCTTGAGCTGGCTTTGACTTTTCAGCAATATGTGTCTTGTTTATAGATTAAACTTAAGCATAAACTCATTTATTTATAGATCAGTAAACTCCAATTTCCCTTTCCATCTTAAGCCATTAAATACAAAATTTCAAAACACCCCATCAGAATTCATGAAAGAATCCTTTAAACTAGATATTTCACCTGCTGTACTTCACCCTTTGAATTTTTAAACTTAGGGTGTTTTCCTTCCACTTTGTAACTAGTCCAATGAACTTTGTCATGCCTCCAATTTTATGGAGGAGATGCTAAGTACAGAACCAGTGCTGAATTTGAAGCAAGCAGATTAGCCAAAACCTATTCATGAATTAGTACAATTGGAGTGAGCTTGCATAAACCCTTCTACCCCTTTTGATTCTACTGCTGGATTTACAGGCTTTTTGACCAAAAGTTTTGAGCTAGAAAGTATTCACAGAGAATTGTCCTTTGTGAAGTAAACTTGCTCCATATACCCTTTCTTTTAGAGAAGAATGTTTTCTTGGTAAACACATTAAGTGCTTCCATGTTTTCTTTAACAAACAATCAGGAATCATCTGATGATATCTAAAATGTATATTTTTACTCCTTTTCATCGGAGAAGCATCCAGTCTTTGAACTGTAATTAAGAAAGAGTATTTTATTTAAGAACAAAATTGCCTTTCACTTTTGTTTTATTTACGAACAAAAATGCTTTTTGGTAAATATAATCTTTTCAATCAAATAAGAATCTTCTTTAGAAAAAAGTCATCCGACTTCAAAAGAAAAAAACAATAAAAATGATTGATCTACTGTCAAGTATAGCTGTATCCTATTCCACTTGATTTGTAAAATCCCAATGTTTTACTAACATACATGTGATAAATGGCAGATGTTAATCTTTTGGAAACTTCTCCCATTCTTTAAGTTTAAATAAAAGTAGGTTACCGTTTCAAAGCTTTCATAGTTGTACAAAGACCTAGAACACTTTATTTCACACAAAAAGATGCATCATATTAGACAATAGTAAAAAAAAACAGAAGTCTAGGGATTGACGCTCAACAAAAACAAACTCAAATCTAAGTATCTAAACTAGCTCTATAAATTGTAGACATAGACTATCTTAGGGTTAAAACCATTTAATACCATTCAAATGTTAATAAATTACATTTTAAACAGCAGCAGTGATTAATGACACAAGATCGTTTAGAGCTTGCTCTCTTTTCTTAAAAATGCATCTATTTCACCTACACACAAGAGAGTAAGTCCTTGATGGATTTATAATGTTTGTATCACACAAATGCATTACCTCCCTTGACTAGTGTTGAATCCTAAGTCTTCCCTCTTCTCCTCTAACACTCTGACTCTGATGATATATCATCACAGGATCAGAGCTGATGCCCAAAGCTCTATCGACCAGAATAGTTGGAGGAATATGGTGGTTTTTCACCCTAATCATCATTTCATCCTACACTGCCAATCTGGCTGCCTTCTTGACAGTAGAGAGAATGGAATCCCCCATAGATTCAGCAGATGATCTGGCAAAGCAAACCAAGATAGAATATGGGGCTGTCAGAGATGGATCAACAATGACCTTCTTCAAGGTAAGAAACTGACAGTGTATATTCCCAATGCTTGCCTCCTGCTGAGAGGAGGGGAATGTGGAATAAAAGAGTCTCTCCAAAAAAAAATAAAAATAAATATAGGTGGGCAATATTTTTTATAAAATAAAATTCATAATGACATAATGACATAATCTTATTAGAAGATTATGTGCCCTCAGCAACCACCATAAAGCAATTTCTTTGGTCCAATTTACTACACTCAAATCCACAGATCTGTATCATCAATATCCTCTCCTGCCTTTATATCAGAAAAAAAACCTGCTCTTTTCTGAATACCATCTAACCACCCATTAATTAATCACTCATGTATGGAACCCACAAAATAAGGATTCCTTAATCTGAAATTCTGACCACCAGAATACTTTAATATCACTGTTTTGCTCTTTTTGTTCTGTACTTGATGAGATAAAAGCAGATGACAAGTAAATGTGTTGATGCTGGAAAATCTTTGGAGAATTAAAACCAAAAAAAAATCTCAGAAGACATCGACCTAATACTGCATCTGCACCAACTAGGTGCTCCCAGGGTGGCCTGAAGCTTTCAGATGGCCTGGAGTGCCTTCCATGCACCAAAGGACAATTAAATTAGAGTAGATAGAGCTTTAATGTCAAGCACATGTCATTGTTCAAGTCTTTTTAATTACTTACCCAGAGTAATGAAACTGCATTCTGCCTTGCTTATGGATTAAACCTTAGTGCATATCAAATTTCAGATACTACACCTCCCACAGGGAAGGAAAAAAATGGATTTTAACATATACAGGGAGGCTTAGAAATGGCAAAAACGTCTTGGAGATCATGGAGCTCAGCCTTCAATTTACTTGAAAAGAGGACAAAACCTCAAGAAGTGAAATTATGTGTTCAGTCATATACTTGGTCTATGACAGAGATGAGCTAGAACCTTCTTTCAAAAGGTAATTGTACATGTGAAAAAAGGGAAAACAGCATAACCAAAATGAACTCTAAAACACCTTCATCAAGGTTTCACACCCGGGTTACCAAAAATGAAGTTCTCACCCCAGGATTGAGTCGGCAATGACATGTGAAGAATATTAATTTAGAAACAGGAAACTAAGGACAAGAAAAAGTGGACACTTGTTTATATAACTTTGGTTCACCAAAGTAGGTATTACTATGCATCAAATTTAGTTTAACAATTAGCAAAAAAAAAAAAAACATTTTCAGAGTAAACTATACCCAGAGGTTCACCAAAAAATAGATCAATGTAAAAAGTTAGGATTTTCTTTCCCTCTATGTTAAAAAAGATGACTTTTAAACAATCTTTTCATTTTAAGAAATATGTCATTGATTTAGTGAATACGTAAAGTGTGGTGATTATTTCTTCCCCAGACAAGTGTTGTTTTAAGGATGACCAACATTAAATATATGGCTTCCCAAGCTTCTGAAAGCTTGGATTATCCTAAAATCAATAGTATGAAGGGACATAATTTACCCCAAGCTAGTGACTCATCATGATATTTGTCAGAAACCAGGAAAGTCACCCACAAGGTATTTAGGACAGAGGGACATGGCCAAAGTAGAACTATGTCAGAAAATACCTGAAAATGATTCACCTCTTTCTCCAATATCAGAGTTTTGAAGCATCAGGAGATGGATGAGCAGAGGCAAAAAAGATTCTACTACCTTCTGACTGTACACCACAAATACAGAAAAGGGAGAGGCTGCCCTTTGACAATGCAATAGTGGACTTGGCCACCATGTATTCACAAAACATCCCTCAACCTCATTTGATTTCTTTCTGCTCACATATCTCTTTGAATATAAAGGATGCTGGTTCCCATTTTTCTGGAAGGACCCTGGGGTGACCACATAGTGCTTGGATAGTGTGTTTCCCCACAGCAATCATGCACTGCCCTCATACCTGCTGTGCCCTGGGCATTTTGGAGAGGGTTCCTACTTGCTCCCTGGTCCTGAAAATGAAGCACAAAGGGAAGCAGTCTCTCAGGTCATCAGGCAAACGAGGCAATAAGCATCTCAGGGAGGAAGAAGTGATGTTAGTACTGACAATGATGAGGAGAATAGCATGCATTTCACACTAACTCACAGCCTCACACTCTGATTCCAAATGCCTTACACATGTTATCTCATTTTTCCTTATAAAAGCCAGTTGAGATAGGTACTATCACCCCGTTATGTGATAAGGATAATGAGGGACACCTTGGTTAAATAGCTTGCCCAAATTTACAAAGTATCAGTGCAAGAGCCAGGGCTCAGTCACACTTCAGAGAGTTCAAGAATTGGTCTGTTTTGTTTGCCATTATATCCCCCAAACCTAACTCTCTGCTTGGCACAAGGCAGGCATGCAGAAAATACGTTTTCGATAAATGAACATATGCCCTAATGAATCCTATGAAAAATGGGATTCGACCAGAGAAGGGAGGGTGGGGGGCTAAGGGGGAGGAGTGTCACAGTCCATCCAGGGACCATCACAAACTACCACGAGCTGGATGCCTTATAAACAACAGTAATGCATTTCTTACAGTTCTGGAAGCTGGCAGGTCTGAGATCAGGGTCCCAGAATGGACAGGTGAGGGCCCTCTTCCAGGTCACAGACGTCATTCTGTCCTCACATGATGGAAGCGGCTAGGGGGTTGTCTGGAGCCTCTTTCATAAGGCACTAGTCCCATTCATAAGGTTCCCCCACTACCACGTCAGGACTTACACCTTCCCAAGATTTAGTGAATACGTAAAGTGTGGTGATTATTTCTTCCCCAGACAAGTGTTGTTTTAAGGATGACCAACATTAAATATATGGCTTCCCAAGCTTCTGAAAGCTTGGATTATCCTAAAATCAATAGTATGAAGGGACATAATTTACCCCAAGCTAGTGACTCATCATGATATTTGTCAGAAACCAGGAAAGTCACCCACAAGGTATTTAGGACAGAGGGACATGGCCAAAGTAGAACTATGTCAGAAAATACCTGAAAATGATTCACCTCTTTCTCCAATATCAGAGTTTTGAAGCATCAGGAGATGGATGAGCAGAGGCAAAAAAGATTCTACTACCTTCTGACTGTACACCACAAATACAGAAAAGGGAGAGGCTGCCCTTTGACAATGCAATAGTGGACTTGGCCACCATGTATTCACAAAACATCCCTCAACCTCATTTGATTTCTTTCTGCTCACATATCTCTTTGAATATAAAGGATGCTGGTTCCCATTTTTCTGGAAGGACCCTGGGGTGACCACATAGTGCTTGGATAGTGTGTTTCCCCACAGCAATCATGCACTGCCCTCATACCTGCTGTGCCCTGGGCATTTTGGAGAGGGTTCCTACTTGCTCCCTGGTCCTGAAAATGAAGCACAAAGGGAAGCAGTCTCTCAGGTCATCAGGCAAACGAGGCAATAAGCATCTCAGGGAGGAAGAAGTGATGTTAGTACTGACAATGATGAGGAGAATAGCATGCATTTCACACTAACTCACAGCCTCACACTCTGATTCCAAATGCCTTACACATGTTATCTCATTTTTCCTTATAAAAGCCAGTTGAGATAGGTACTATCACCCCGTTATGTGATAAGGATAATGAGGGACACCTTGGTTAAATAGCTTGCCCAAATTTACAAAGTATCAGTGCAAGAGCCAGGGCTCAGTCACACTTCAGAGAGTTCAAGAATTGGTCTGTTTTGTTTGCCATTATATCCCCCAAACCTAACTCTCTGCTTGGCACAAGGCAGGCATGCAGAAAATACGTTTTCGATAAATGAACATATGCCCTAATGAATCCTATGAAAAATGGGATTCGACCAGAGAAGGGAGGGTGGGGGGCTAAGGGGGAGGAGTGTCACAGTCCATCCAGGGACCATCACAAACTACCACGAGCTGGATGCCTTATAAACAACAGTAATGCATTTCTTACAGTTCTGGAAGCTGGCAGGTCTGAGATCAGGGTCCCAGAATGGACAGGTGAGGGCCCTCTTCCAGGTCACAGACGTCATTCTGTCCTCACATGATGGAAGCGGCTAGGGGGTTGTCTGGAGCCTCTTTCATAAGGCACTAGTCCCATTCATAAGGTTCCCCCACTACCACGTCAGGACTTACACCTTCCCAAGACCTTGCCTCCTAATACCACCATCTCTAAGAGTTAGAATTTCGACATGTGAATTTTGAAGGGATACGTTCAGTGCACAGCAGAAGGGATACATAGAGACCCACACAGGGAGACACGCTGTTGCTGTGTTCCTCAATTTACAAGTTAGCTTATAACCCAGCAACCTTATTTATCAAGAAGGAATTTATTTGCTAAAAGAGAACAAGAACTAAATCCGCTTCAGTTTTCCCCTTGAGGGTGGCAAGCTTTTGGTAAGCCTCAGAAAGGATACACACTCAGAGTTCTTAAACTGCGTTATTCCACAAGGGAGAGAAGCGTTCCAGGCTTTTAGCTTTCAGGGAAATTCCACCTTAAGTCTTGAGTGACGGCAGTTATGGTCACAAACAACCGCACCTCACCTGGCTCTGCATTAATGTTTTACCTCTGCTGCGCTATGGGAGCCTCCGTCCCTTCCTCCTTTCTCTCCTAATCAAAGATGGTATCCTCTTTGGCGCTCTTGAATGAATGAGGAGGGCCCCCTGTGCCTAGCCTAACAGAGCACATCCTGATCAGTTGTTGGATCATAAGCCATTTGTTCAAATAGACCCAATTTCATCTCAGTTACAAAGAAACTTCTAATACAAAGCATTTTCTCATCACATGCAGTGTAACATAAAGTGTTTTTGTTCCCAGAAATATATATATATATATATCCCTTTGGCAGCATCCAAATGGTAGAAATCTGTCTTTGCTTTCAAGTTGATTTTGAATTGTTTTACAGCTAAAGAATAGGCAGTTGCAAAATGGAAAGGACTATAGAAAATTACCAAAATTCATGAACAAAACAGACTTACCCTTCACCATTGGTCTTTGGGCCACAAGCCCAAACTTTTTCAGTAGAGTTTCTTTTTGCAACGTGTGG